GCCTCCAGATTCCATGAACCCTTATTACTATGTACCGAAGGACTAGTTTCTAATGACATGATACATAGATAATCCCTTGGCCGAGTCGGCAAGAAAAATGATCCTGTATAAAAAAAGTCAAAAAGCGTCGAGCTTGCGGTTGTTTTATTTTATCGGGCGCGGTCGAAGGCAACATGGCCGCGAGAGAAGCGAATTATCTCTGGATATACTTTATAAGATGCTTATCACGTAGTGCCGGATAAATGAAGCTTAAGCGTCGTAAAGTGCAAGATAGGTAAAGCTTGGAGTTGAGTCTATAATTGTTTGAGATGACGGCGCTCTTGTAGAGCGATTGTAAACAAAGTTTTAATTTTTGATAAGTTAATAAATAGCAATTTTTCTAAGATGTCTCATGCAAAGGTGTAAATGTATGTAGTATTATTAACTGAATATAATAGATACGTTAGTTCGTTACGCGCCGCTCTGTCTAGGCAGGTGCTCGCCGATATTTTGACAACGATACTTAGCAGAACCGCCCATTTTTTTAATTTAATACTTTTTTTCTATATCCACTTGACCCGTTTTTGAGCGAACCGACGTTATTTCTTAATAAAAAAATGATATTTTCGTTACTACGACTTGAATTATGTTTATTGTGTTTTGGGGTGGTTAATATGATTATATCTTTCTAATTTACGAATAAAATAACTAAGCAAGGGTGGTACTGTTGGGACAAAAGTATACGAAACATTTGTACTTAATAAATTAGATATGTTATGTTATGTTATGTTATGTAAACATTAGATACTTTTTAATATAATTTCGCATTTTACTTATATGTATTTAAATTTCAAAATTAGAATAGGAGCTTGTGCGGGCGAGCAATAGACAATAGAAGGAAAGAGTGTATTGTTTCACCTCGGGGTCCGGGGAGTTTCGCTACAATGAACCGCATCCGGGGTCGCCGGGCGTGGACGACGCGACGACGATCATAGACCCAAACTGAATATATTAGGTATGCCATCATGTCCCTTGATATCATTGTGAACGTCGCATTTAAACTCCGTGAGGCTTATTTACTTACTGTGCTTTATATCGCGTGACTTTAGGGCCAGAGTGTATGAATATAAACAGGAAGAGTTGTTTTAAAAGTCTAGATTCTAAATTACCTACATAAGTAAGTAGGTATCTTGTCAAATAAGAACTTGAAAATATAGAAGAAACATAATTAACGATATAAAACTTCAAACTTCATAAATGAAATCAGATATTCGCTCCAACATTGTGCAAAGCGCTACGGTAGAGTCAAAACGTTTTTCGAAGTCAACGCAAACCAACAATAATCCTATTTAACAATGAATTTTTTAATCCTATAAAAAAGTGAAGTGTGCGAAATGAGGGATTCTGTACAGTCTATTATTTAATATCTCTTAATAGTTAATTGTAGATAAGGGTAGAAGCTCCCCACAGATAATATAAAATAATAAATTCAGTAAGGGCGCGTGGCAGGATGCTGGTGACAAATGACGAGGACGCGTAAAATTACAATTATCTCTTTATGCCGGCAACCCTTCGCTCATTATGCAAAATTAACGCATTTACTCTAACCACTGTATGTTTATATTGTATAATTATTATATTAAGTATCTACACAAGCATTTGTAGTCTACTTACGTGATATTTTCTGAACGCTGAGTATGCATATTCGAATTACTACGAAAAATATTGATAACAACAAAATTCTTTTTGGAATGTACAATCTGAGATGGAATTTAATTCACTGGTATTTATTACGCGTATGGTTTAAATTGGAAGTCTTATGTGTCGCGTCAGTTATCGTACATAGATAAATATCCCTTACAGTTCATCAGTCTCGTCAATTTCGGATCTCAACAAGCCACCATGCGGGATGGCATTATTGCTTTTTTATTAGCTTTTTTTCTATCCCCCGTCTCGCAGTTTTTGTTGCGCGTGCGTTCGTGGGATAGGTCGCGAAGCGTTTCTGTTTATGCTGGTATTAGCATAATGCACGTTTATCCCCACAAAGCGCATTGTTTATCAATTGTCACTAAATAAGTTCAATGGCTTGCAATGAATTGCAAATGCGTGTTTTGGTAGGGTTTATTAGCCTGTATAAGTAATGTAGGTATGAGACATCTTCCGCGAATCGCTAAACTAATTATCGACGCCGCCACTCGTATCAAAGGTTATAACTGTAAGTATTGACAATGGCACATTTGCATTCGTGTTTCCGGAGCAATAGCCAAATTATCGTGAAATTTTAACGGCAGTGTGGTTGACCGCTGTTGTTATTTTTTGTTAACTTAATGGATGCATAGGGACCATTGTCCGCAAATTGCGATATGAAATATTGCTAATTGTGTTTATTTCCGGACTATGTATTAGAATTTGCTATTGGTCATTCTTTCTGGGATCAAATTCTTTATAGCAGATTCAGTACATTAGCAAGCAAATTATTGATACCGAAACAAACTTTATTGACATTTAATTGTCTACAGAACATTCCCACATTCGCTTGTAGGTAATCGAATTAATAATAGTATTGGTGCTTAGAGTAGAGGCCGATATCGATATGCAAATGGCCGTTGAAAGGCTTCAAGTGCACTCCACACTTCACTATTGATACGAACGAATTGCTCTGACATTCACACTCATTGTTTAACTATAGGAATTTGGGTTTTGCATAGATTCGTGAGAAAGTTTAGGGACAAAATGTGTGATCGATTTGTTGAATTAATATTGGCTTACGTTGAGATTTAAGCTACGTAATCATTAATTATAGATGTCTCTATGTAGTATGGATATTTCTCTGAGAATTTGGAAAAGTGTAGTGAGTTTTTTATTTAGATACCTTTGTTAAGCAATCTCTACGATCCTTGAAAGCATTAAAACAATGCTTGCTCACACTCTTTTAAAGATTATTAGTACGATTGTAACCACACAAAAATTGCATAGTCTGTCACCCCTCTACATAGATCAGCCATTAAGTTAACCGTCATACCCTATTCTATACTATTTTATTGTATTATCAAGGATGGTCTCGCATCCCGTATCATCTTGATTATGGGATGTTTAACCCTGATCATGAAGATTGACGTTTTATTTCGTTAATGTGTTGTGAATTTAGCTTTCATACGGCGGTTGTATCATTTATTATTACTTGTTACTCTTTACAAAGCGGTGTTTCGGTCGTCATAAGGGTGAAAAGTTTTAGTAAAACTTTTGCATTATTGAGTATATTGTAAATATTAATGTCTACACGTTGATGTTATTTCGTTTCTATGTAGATAATAATGAATTTCATGCTTAAATAACAAATTAAATTCTTCTATTCTAAACGCGTCTTAAAATAATAAAATGACGTATTTTGGAAGATGCGTCCCCCAAGTTTGGCGGAAGACAAGCCTCGCTTAACAAAAAATATTGCACACACAGCTTGGTCTATTTTTGAGTGCATTTCGCGCTATTTTAGCGTTCCCTACGCGAGCAATGTGTCAATGACCCCGTTTGGTAGCGTTGTTCACTCACTTTTGGGAATTTTAGGACGGTCATGTTTGTATCGAAATTTTAATCATTGTGCGTTCGAATTGTTCGAGTTAATTAGTAACTTTAGCGTTTCCAGCGGCTTTTTTCGGATAAGAGCTGTTGTAGGTGCTGTGACGTCTACCTTTCATTTAATCTTTTTGTTTATTAAATCTAGTTAACCTAGTAATTATATTTCTAGGCAGCTAATAAGTATGCATTTATTTAGGAAGTAACAATTATCCCATAGCAATAAACTTACAGGGCTGTTGTATTTTTTATGATATTTAATACCTAATCAAATTACCTAACTAACTATCGCGGTGTATCAAATGAATATATCTGCATAAATCACCCATAGGTAAAGAAAACAACTGCATGTTCATTAGAATATCGACACAATGGACGCTTAAAGACCATTGATGTTTTTTAATTCTGAAAGCAGAACGCGAAGTTCAACGTTAACATACAAAGAAGCAGTGAGGCGCGGCATTAATTTTTTATAAGCTGATTTCGGCTTTATTTTATCGTGTTGACGGCGAGCAAGCAGCGTTCGCGGCGCACACTACTACAATTGCTGTATAGATGCGCGTGCGCACTCACGCACACAGCGTCGGAAGCCCTCCTCAGCGCGCTGCAATTCGTCGGGCGCGCCGGCCCCGCGCCCGTACCCTCTCGCCCGCACGCAATTGCACTGCACTCCGGCACGCTGCGCTGCGTGCGTAAAAAGCGCACACGAGGCGCGGGGAGGAGGCGAACGCAGGCCGCGACCGGCCGCTTTACACCAACACAGTCACTGCCAGACGCTCGCAAGAGCACGCCGCCCCCACACGCAGGGCGTACTCGACACTTCACCATTCGCGCGAAACTACCCCGAACGTGCTACGAACTTCGGATGAGTGCAAGTGCTGACATTTTCACATGAGTTTTCCTGTTTCGAAAATTTATTTCAACAACCTTGTTGACGTGTAGACGCTGGATTTATTTTCTTTTGCGGTAAGTTTTCATTTATTGTTTTTAATTTTACTTTCGTAGAGGTGCTACGAATCGTAGCCGGCTGATATCGAGGACCTGTTTCGTATTCATGGTTCGTATAAATATAGTAAGCGTCAATATTTTGCTACGGAATAGTATGCATAATTGTTTGGAAAATAAAGATGAAAATGCGTGAACCGGTGTGGTGCAAATTTATGGGGAACACGACAGGAGGGAATCCGGCGTTACTGCTTTCATCGGTCCCCTAAATTCGATTTTACCTGCCGAATAAAAGGTAAAAAGTCAATTTGGCAGTGTGGAAGGGCTATAGAGCGTAATATGTAAATGGGGAAGGGCGGTGCAGTCGAGTAGTCGCGCTGAGCCGCGGTGTACGTCGTCAGTCAGTGCTAGTCGCACAGTGATGCGCATCGTGCACAGGTTGCACCAACTTTGTGTACGCAAGGACTGTAACTTTCGATCGAATTGTGCGTGACTTGGAAAATTTTTTGAAAATGTATCCTGCTTCAACTAATGACGATATTTTGCCAGGTATATACATTTAAATAAGAAGTTTAAAAAAGTTTTCTTCTCTTTAAGTTTTGAAATTGTTTAGTGTGACGTCAATTTATTTTGTGACACCGTGAAATTAAATTCGTAAATAGTAGGAACCTGTGGTTTCTTTATTGTTCAATTTTATTCGAGCCATGTATTGTTTTTTTTACAACTTTTACTAAAACGGTATATTTAGGTTTGCAAATTAAATACAAAACTCATTTAGATAATATAGTTTCTGGCATTAGATTCGATTCATTATTCATCATACATTGTTTGTGTTTTATTATTTATTAATCACTGAAGTTATTATAAAAAAAACCTTGTTTAGAATACTCTTCAGATATTTAATTGTAGTGTTCTATTATTTAATACGTTTTGTATGCATTATTTTACATTCCCATCTAAATTATTTTTCTTTCGTTTACAGAATCCCAGTTAAGAAAAATGGGGAGCGTCGAAGGACCGCAAACGTTTTGTTTGAAGTGGAATCACCACAAGACCAACTTGGTGGAAATCCTAGAAGCTCTCATCAAAGGAGAGACATATGTGGACTGCACATTAGTGGTCGACGACCAGGTCACCTTTAAGGCCCACCGAGTTGTTCTGGCTGCTAACTCTCCGTACTTTCAGTCCATATTAGCTGATGTTCCAATGGATCACTGCAGCATCCTTTTCCCGGGTGTTAAAGATTACGAGATGCGTGCGCTCCTTGAATACATGTACACGGGAGAGGTGAACGTGGCGCAAACTCACATCCCACACATTATGAAAGTAGCTGAACAGCTGGAAGTAAAAGGTCTCTTCGACATGACTGAGCTACGACGGCGGCCAGGCAGCACGGAGCGCACTCCAGCGGCGTCCCCGCCGCGCGTGGTGCCCGCTGCGCCCTCCAGCGTGTCTCCGCCTGCACCCGCACCTCCCTCGCGATGGCCACCACCACCTTCTGCACCTGTCCTTTCTGCTGCCTACGACTCCGCTGATATGAATCCTCTCAAACGTAAGAAATTGTCTAGTATGCTAGCCACACGTGACACCCCAATTTTAAGAAATGTTCTTGCTCAAACATCTCCGGTGGATTCATCGCAGCCAATGTCTCTCGTTTGCCATCCTGTTAGCCAACACGCACCACCTCGCCTGCACTCCAATGGTTCGGCACATGAATCTGAACGCGCCCCGAGTCCTCACCGCGGTTTCGACTACCGCCCTCGTAGACTATCCTCACGAGCTTCATCCCCTCATTACAACAGATCAGACCGGTCAGAAGATGCTCACTCTCCATACACCGAAAGATCCTTTGAAGATGAAAACCAACGCACATTCCACCCGTCACCACCACCAACTAATTTTCAACCAGACGTGAGAGCTGGGTTAGCCCCGTACGTTCCACCTCAACAGAAACCCGAATGGAAACGATATAAACAATACACAAGATCGGATATTTTATCAGCAATTGAATGTGTGCGAAACGGGATGAGTGCCTTGCAGGCATCACGCAAATATGGCGTTCCCTCGCGGACATTGTACGATAAAGTGAAGAAACTTGGAATAACAACCAGTCGCCCCATGAGTCGGGGAGTCAAAAGAGAATCTAATGGAGCCGCATTCCCATATGGTTTGACTGGAGCGGGAGGCGGAGGTGAAGATGGCAACCCATCGACGGCTCTATTAGATCCCTCTTTTCTGCAACAAGCGTTAGAAGGGGCTAGAGACGGAGGGCGGGAAGCACTTCATGCGATGGCACTGGCTGCAGCCGCACACGCCGCCCTAGCACCCCGCACGCCACCACGATCACCGCCACATTCACCACGCTCGCCTGCGCAGGACGATAATCATGTTGAAGATTTGTCTGTACCTCGTCGTCGTGATATAGACCAGCCCCCTGGTGTTATTGTTCCGCCGCGTAATTTTGCGTTAGATTGTGGAAGCGAAAGAGATTGAAAAAACGACAACGTGGAATGTACATTCGAAAAGACTGAATTAGTCGTACAAAGTTAGAAGTAAGGCACTTATGTAGGCTAACTGGTAGGCCGTGCCGCGCGCGCACGCCGCCGATGACCGGGCGCTCCGGCCGGGTGATTGCAATGGGCCCCGCGGCCACTTTTCTTCTACCTCTTTTCTTCTCTATTTATTTCAAAGTGTCGTGAAAGCTTGAAAACGAAATCAAATTTCCGTTTGGCGCTAGCGACACCCTTTGTGATTTTATTTTTGTTTATTTCTTCTCTAGTTTTTTTGTTTTATAACATATATTTTCTTTGTTAATAAATAGCAGAATAAGTTAGCTTTAACTAGTATTTAATATCTTATTAGTTGAACTGGTAACTTCATATGGCCGAAGGGCCAGCAGGCAGCGTCGGCCATGCTGCCGCGCCCTGGGCGGTTCCGCCTAGACATGTTATTGTGCAATTTGTTGTCCGCGACTGTGATGTTTATAGACTGAAATGCCGCTACTACCTCACGCTAGCCACAGCTACTCTAGTCCACCGCGTCGCAGCATGCCATACTAATACGTGAAATAGTGAATGACCCAATATATCCTAACTTGAAGGACAATACCGAAGAATCCTTGCATGCGACGCACTCACGTCACCGCGGATAGCGACGTTATTTGAAACTGACCACTATACTACCAAGATTACTTATAGTTTCCTTACGTTACGGGTTAGATTAATTTATTAATTTGTTAGTCGATTGCCATAAATGTTCATTGTTAAATATCTAGTTGTGCTCACTATATCTTCATATAAAATGTTTTGCACAAGCACGGTGGTTCATATTAGAGTTAAGATATTGCATCAACACTTAGTTAAGAATGCTCAATGTTATTATTAGGTTTGTGGTAAATAGAAAATCGTTGCAATGCGCTGTTATACGAAAAATGTCTAGTATATTTTTCATATTGATTTACGAGTGTAATACTTAGATACCGTGTGATTTCCTCTTAAGATTTGTTGTTCTTATTTCTTGTATTCTCAAATGATCTAATGTACAAAGCTGCACATTTTCACTCTTAACTTCTTTTATCGACCTACTTTTTTATAATTATCACATCTTTTAATATCTACATGATTTCTAAGTGTCAATGTATATTGAAATCCTAAGAGTAACCATATAATTTTATGTAATTCTAAGTTAATGATCACATTACTTATTATTTGGTAATAATTGATTGGAAGACTGATTTGTTACTTTAGTCTAGTTTGAAAATGCCATAGATATCTACGAACGTATCTACCTTAATGTGTATGCAAATATTATCTAAATAATTAATTAATTTAAATCACGGATTGTGTGTGTAGAAGCTACACTTCGGTAGGTCTCACTATTTTGTGCCTTTGTTTGTTGTAATTTAAACATTATCTATGTTAGGACATTCCAGTAGGTGTACCTTAGGCACTCTTGTGTTCTGTGGTTTGACACCACTTTAAAGGCGTTAGCAATCATGTACGGTGTCCTCCGGTACCGTCCAACTAATCGCCATAAGAATTAAATACCTCACATTTTTTGTTAATTAAATGTTAAATTGTAATTATTATATATCCATTTTTGTGCCTACGTAAATATAAGTCAAAACGTATGATGTTATTGCACTACTATAGCTCATAATTTGAGTTTTGAAAATATTGTACCTATGTACTTTACTGTGTAGTTCTACTGTATCTATACTCTTAAGTTATAATAGATCGAGTTTGTTTATCTCGTAACTACATATTATTATAGTAAGAACTCTATATTTACAGATAATATAATGTTATAAATATAAATTAAACGTTTAATATCAATTAATGACTCTTTCATTTCTCTAGTTATGAAATGTAGTTAAAAAAATAGAAAACTATCTAAAAAATATTTAATTACTATAATTTACCAAAAATCTCTTCCTGCTACGCGCGTTTATTGCTACGGACCTACGATCTGTACGGTTTTTAGATTAAACCTCATTCAACACTAGATGGCAGTAGTAGGTATACAATAATACCATCGAATTTTTTTAGCAAAAGAACTAGCCGAAAATACTGTACAATACACAACATATTTTACTATAAAAGTTATTAACACGAGTAGAAAATTCTCAAAAAATGAATAAAACAAATGTTATTGCTTGTTTTGAATTCTGCTGCTGCGCCATCTACCTTGGAAAATATTTTGTTTTGACAGCGCCATCTAGCGAGGGGTAGGAATATTACAGACTAGAGAAGAAAGGTACATGTTATTTTACTCGTCCTTGTTATACGCGTTGTATATTGTATAAACTAGGAGATTAGAAATGAAAAACATAGAACGTTTCTCGATTCTAATATTTTTATTCTTTTAATAACAAAAGAGGGCAACACTAAAAATTAAAAAAAGGCCGATGCCGCCAAGATGAATAAAAAAATGTTATATATTATTATCGATTCGAGTCATAAATAATTTAGGTTGAATTAAGGACACTGAAAAAGGCGGACACCGTCTCTTGAAACAACGACTGTGGCATGGCACCTGCCTTCCTTTCACTCAAAACATATACACATTGACACGAAGGATATCTGTCACGCAGTACATAAATAACCCACTGACATTTTGGTGATTCAATCATTTCCAATTGTTTGTTTATGTCCACTTGTTTTTCAAGTCCATGTGATGAATATTATTACTTTTCTAAATATTATAATTCATACTTGAATACTAATTATTCATTTGGTCAATTTGTATATTTTTAAGCGCATTAGTTTAATAATATTCCAAATTATGCTTAGTTTACAACTAATTACTTATTACTCTCATTCTCATTATTAAATCTTTTATTGGGAATGCTTAAATAGTAGATTTTTTGTATTTTAATAAACATTATAAGTATCCACATAATGATTCTCATTATGCACCGTATCAGTCATTTATATTAATCAAACAAGCCTCCTACAGTTTTTACCTTTTGTTTCAATAAAAAGTTCAACTTTTATCACATTTTCTAATAAGATTCTAACAACTTATTAGTTTTTGAACGCATCTTAACAAGAAAATGACGTCGTATCACACCACCTATTTTCTTTCTTTTGATTGGTTGAATGGAATCATGCGAATTATGTCAAATTCAGTCAAATGTGAGTTATCTATCAAAACTGCCAAAAAACGTAAACAAATTTATTTTATTGTGAAGACAGAAAAATACGTTTTCAAATGATATAAGTGATCAAAATGGATTTCGGAATAGGGCCGGAAGGCTCATTTATGAATTCGGATGTGTTCAACGTCAATGATATCGCTGAAATCGAAGGTAAGTCGTGTTTACTACTCGCAAGTGTTACGTCGTATTAAGTATGAGTAATACACGTAACCATTGAATAATTACAGATTTTCTCAGTGGATGCGACGGTGATTTTATGAAAACCCTTGAAGATGAGTTGTCTCGTGTTGATGATCACCCGCTTCTAAGTGTTGATACTAAAATTAAGTCCGAACTACCATCACAACCCCAATTGTCACCATGCTTCAATTATATTGGAAATCCTGTGGTGTCACAGTATACCCACAGAGCCAAAGCAAATTTAATAAGCACTCCACAACCTAAGAGTAGTCCTGTACAAGCTGCGACTTCAAGAGAAGACATTTATAATTTGCCCGTTAATGATGGTGCACCACTGCCGGATGTCACGCAGCATGGACGTCGAAGAGTGCCTGCACAAACCCCCATGATTGTGCAGCAGGTAGTCCAGAGTCCTGTTTATGTAAATTTGGCGCCAAATGTGCAACAGATCCCAGATGGCCGGCAACCCTTAATGCACATGGATACTGGAACTACACAAATAACGCAGCCAGCTAAAACGAAACCTGCGAACCAACCATTGCTAATACAGAACAATACCAAAGGAGTGACACCGCTTATTCTAAAAACGTCTGATGCAAGTTTTTCTCCAGTTGTGTTGCAATCTAATATCATTAACCCAGAGACTCAAACATTCATGTACACCAGTGCACCTGTACAAGGTAATGTCTTTTATGATTATTATTATTTAAAAACATTGTTATTGATTACAAAACCCATAACACCCGCTTAAAATACTCTTATTCTCTAATCTAAGTCATTTAACAACAAAATGTTATCTGTAATTTGTGTACAGCATACTATTTTTTGAATGGTTAAAACATGTTTTCTATAGTGTTTTAGTAAAATATCATTCCATATTTTCCAGGTACCACACAGGGCATCATCACAAATGCTAAAACAAATACTGAAAACCGTCCCTTACAGTTTTTTACCAGTAATAATGGCCCAACACTTTTAACGGGAATACCAGTAGTTCTAGAAGGTGAAAAGATTACTCTAAGTCAGGCTCCGAATATGGGAGTGCCGAAGGTTAAGGAAGTGAAACGTAGTGCGCACAATGCTATAGAGAGGCGGTACAGAACTAGTATTAACGATAGAATAGTAGAACTTAAGAATATGCTTGTCGGAGAAGAAGCGAAAGTATGTATAATTTATTTACTAATACTAAGATATTGCATCAGCTATTTGAGAGTATGATGCAATAACTGTGATACTTTCATGTCTAGTGATAAAGTTGAATGATAGTATTAAATAAATAGGTTAATGAACCTCAATCCTATTCTAAATCTTTTAATTTATTTATTTACTTTTTCTAATTTGAATCCTTCTAGAACATTCGAGATTGTATCTTTAGTAATGTTTTAAGAATTTTACCAAAACTTTTTCAGTCAATACATTCTACTAAGACTTTTATAAACTCTTAAACTACCAAATCCTTCTTGAAGGACCTTAAATAGTTAGAACAATTACTGATCTTATTTTCTTATGATCTTGTTTCCAATTTCAGTTGAACAAATCAGCTATTTTAAGGAAAACTATAGAATATATTAAGTACCTTCAGAATCAGAATACTCGTTTAAAACAAGAGAACATGGCTCTGAAGCAAGCGTTCCAGAAGTCTGGAGTGAAGGAACCAATGTTCGATGTGACATACACACCTCCGCACAGTGATATCTCATCACCGTCCAGTTCACCGCATGGATTTGACAGTGATTCACCTTCATCGCCTGAGTGCAAGGTTAGTATTATCATTTCAGCTGTGGTTATTTTAAAATAGTATTGTGCTAGGTATATTAAGGAGCCTTTCCTAAGATAATTTAGACTTCTTAATTTTACTAAGCCAATATTTAGTTTGATGTATCAGTCAATTCTGTATTGAATATTATGTAGTGCTTAATTCACCAAAAGTTTTCTGTAATGTATATTTATTTACACTTAAATAGATTTAACTTAGAATATCTTATCGGACCATTTTGGTAATGAGATTTGCCAAATTACATATTTGTTTATAGAGTACAAATAAAACTAGACTTAGAATTATTATTAGAAGTACATACACATACAAAAAAATCAAAACGTCAAGAAATTCAAATAAAGTGATTAAATTAGAAGAAACTTTGAACTTCTACATTAATACTCATTACAAATAGAAGATTACAAATCAATATGCTTATGTATACTATGTTTGATCCAAATACAGATATTGAGTTAATTATAATTTTATGATATTTTCTAGGTTGAAGATAAGTACTCGAATTCTAAGATTGTCATGGGTATGGGCGATCATTCCCGGTTAGCATTATGTGCTTTCATGGTCGGTTTGATAGCATTTAACCCGTTCAGCACCTTCTTTGGAAACTATATGTTGGAGTCTACAGTCACAGATTTCTCTGCAAGAGTTGATCAAAGAAAAATATTGGCTGATGATGATTTTGGTAAGTTTTCTTCAAGTCTATTTTTATCACATTCAGTTTCCGAGTATTATTCATGGATCACTCATTCACTCTGAGTGAATTCCTTTTTCTAATAGTAGAGAAATCATGTTTGCTTATTTTTAATTAGAAACGGCTAAAAGAAAATATACATTTACTGATTATGAACTATTCATAAATGTATGGTATTGTATACATTTAAATACTGTATCTAATTCCAATGTTGTTGTTGTAGGTTCTACAGGAATTACGTGGGGTACATGGCTATTCAGTACTTTCTTCATATATCTAATCAACTTTTTCATACTGGGAGGCTGTCTGATAAAGTTGCTAGTGTATGGAGATTCCGTACCGAAGTCGCAATCTAAAGAAGCCGGTCTATTTTACAAACATAAACGGCAAGCTGACAACTTTTTGAAAAAAGTAAGCATACTTACATACAAACCTCTTTTTTTTTATGGCATAAGCCGGTATACGAGCAGACGGATCACCTGATGGTAAGCAATCCGCGTCGCCCATAGACACCTGGAACACCAGAGGCGTTACAAGTGCGTTACCGGCCTTTTGGGGATTAGGAGTTTGAGGATCGTTGGGGATTCAGGGATCGGGGAGATTGGGGAAGGGGAGGGTAAGTGGGCCTCCAGTACACTAACTCACACGACGAAACACAACGCAAGCATTTCCTTCTTCTCATCGACAAAGTGTAGTTTTGTGTCACCTCTTCAGTTATTGATTGGTGTATCAAACTGGTTAAATTTTACGTAACTATTATTTCATAGGAATAGTAGTTGTGAGTATTTGTGATTGTGAACACGACTGTCCAGAGGAATGGTGTGATTTATTTGATCGAAAGATTTTCGAACTTCTCAATGATGGCAATCGCTCACGGCGTGTGGGATTGTACCTGTATTTGGCAATACTAAGACTTTTATCAACAACTTAAAAAAAACCATATATGTATACGGTCGAATTGAGGACCTCCTCCTTTTATTGAAGTCGGTTAAAAATGTGTGATGTTTTTGTAAATTTTATTCATTAATTATTTACAGGGTGACTTAGAAAACGCTCGGTTGGAACTGCATCGAAGTTTAGCGGTTTGTGGGAAGAGTGTTCAAGCAGGTGGACAGGGCCAAGCGAAGTACTCCGCCCTCACTGCCGCGGTTCTAAGGCAGTTATTGCAGAGACTTCCCTTTGGATCCTTTCTTGCACGGCGCGCTGGGGATTTGTGGAGTGATAGGTAAGCGTTTTAATTGTAAACTTACAGTGCTATTTTGGCTAATCACTTTCACATTAATCACATTTTTGTCTTGTGTGTATCCAGACTCGCAACAACAATTTGTTGATCACAGTAAGATATGTTTTTGCTTGAATTGAAATCTGCGACTCGTTGTGAACCAACTGGTTGCCCAGCCACCGTGTCAATCGTGCGATCCAGTTTGTAACATTTTATTTTGTTCTACAGTCCCTCAAGAAGAGCTACAAAACATTGGGCTGCAGAAGTATCGACAGTATCCCATAGGCTTGCACAGTTAGAGATACTTTCAAGTCACAGTGGCAGGAGTGAACGAGTGCTCTTAGCTCTCCAAGCTGTTAACTTAGCTGAAGTGACGGGCAATAGGCACCTGTTGGCTGATACTTACGTGACCGCTGCGCTAGTGTTCAAGGACTATATGCCTAAGTTCGGCAATTGGTTGTGCGGGTAAGTATAAACTTTTCTTACTCACCTCTTTTAGGGTAAAGTTTTTTGGATACACTCTGATAAGCTTAATCTTTTATATTGTGATCTCTTAACCTTTTATATTGTGAGCCTGTCAGTTGTGTCACCTCTGATGTGTAGACGAGATCCATAGGCTATTGCTTTTGTACATGTTGTTATATTTTAAGAAAAAGGTTAGGTAAATCATTATCACATCATCTTTTACTATCCACCTCGGGGGGTCCCGAAAAAGTATTTTATTGGAAGTAGTAGCATCTACCCTAACATTACAAAACATGCAACACCCAAGTAAAAAAATGGTTGTAACTATTGTCTCCAGCTACTACTTAAGCCTATGTCGTGGTTGGACGGACTCGCTGTCGGAGTGGCCGGTGCGCCTGCGCTGGGTGGGCAGCGGGCGCGGCATGCGGTTCCTGCGCGCGCGGCGTTGGACGTACGAGCGGAACCCCCCCGCCGCCGCACTCTTCTGTCGACTGCCTGATCCTGCTGACCCGTTGGCTTATGCTATGAGGGTATGGAATTATTTATAATAGTTTTAGTTTATTATCTCAATAGAAGTGACAATGGTATAACTGAGTGGAGATGACTGGTTATTCATGGTTAACTACTGTTTCTAACATTTTTTATTACGATTAACATTTTGAATTTCATATAGACTTCTGAATGAGGTTTCAATTGTAACTTGGCAGACAACTTCGGAAATATTGATTGAAATTATTCAGCAGATAATTATCTTCAAATCATCTTTTTTACATTTTCTCAATTGTAGTTTACATAGGGGTAAATAAATATACACATTATGAAGAGACGAAATCTTTGAAAGATGTACTTAAAAGACACAACACTAAAACCAACCTTACCCTTTCTTTACTAAGGTATAAAATAGGTTGCCTTACATTTTCTTCCACAATAATTTAAAGGTATACCTTTTGTATCAATGACGTCACTATCAGATGGTATTACTTAATCAATTAAACAATTAAACAATCTCATTGTATTACTGCATGTAAATGAATCAGCCTAAGCATAGTTTCTCTTCAAGCTATCAATATTATGACATAATACTGTATCGTTACATAAATCAATGGTATGTTTATCAAGCTTGGCTTAGCATGCTAAGATAAAAGCAGTGTTATAATACGTGTGATGATAATACGGACAAATTATTACCTATACAGATAAATAAAATTGGAGTATCTGTTTGTAATATTGAATTAACCGCTTTTTACTACATGCATATGAATTTAAATAAGATACAAATACCAAAATAACACTTTACAATTTTTGTCTGTCTGTCTATTTGTACTGGCTAGTCTCTGAAATTACTGGACCGATTTTGACGGGATTTATATTGGAAGGTAGCTAATGTACTAAAGCGTAACGTGAAATTTTCGAGCATATCTCTGCTAGTTTGAAGTCACACTGAGACTTTTAATCATGAGTAAAGAGCGCGACACATGGATGTCACACAACTAACTCAATAGTATTTTTAATTAATTTAATAACTAGGTATGTCTACGATAGTTATTACACAAAAATATCATTTACAAATTACGTTACGTTAATCGGATTTTAGTAAAGATATATTTTAGTAGACAAGAGATTTACTAGCCTGAATAAAGAATGAAATATAAGCCACGCAATATGAATGTATTATACATTGGAATCATAAAAACAGCGTGCAACAGACTATGAATGAGTAACGAAATGTTACGATAGTTTGCAAATGAATGGATGAAACAAAAGGGGTATTGATTAAGAGAACAATTCCGCATACTCACTCGCTTCGTTGGTCTTGTGGCCATGAATGCGACTGTCGAACATCAGGTCCATGAATGAATGCTTCTGATTTTAAAATTACAGTAAATAAATTAGGTGTAATTTAAACTGTCAAACACCAAGCGGTCACCGGTGACCGCGACCTATTGTTCTTTAATTGTGTCTATAAAACCGGTACTCGACGAGTTAAAAAAAGAAAACAAATTGTCTCAAAAAGCAAGAGTTCAAAAGTGAAATAAGATAATTTGATACACAATGTTTTGTCTCAACTAAATTGAATTGGTATTTGAAATAAAATTAAACGAAATTTACACAGTTAAGGAATAACACGACAAGATCTATTACTTTAAAAACATATTAAAATAGATAAAGGCTTACCAAATCTGTGTACATTTTCGCAGGCGTATCACTTGGAACTACTTCAGAAGAGCCTACAAATGCTTCTCTGTGCTGACGAGCGCAGTAACACGCGCGATGTACTGGAACTTATCAAGTTGATCACTGATGACGTGTCCACGGATGCGCCACATCATACAGGTTTGTGTCCTATACACCTTTATATCATAGTTAGCAGTAACACGCTCCTACTGAACAAAGGCTTTTCTTATGGAACGGTGCTTTTATCAGAATCGCTCTCCACATTTGACGGCCTGATGGTGGCAGTTAGATCGTAAAAAATAAGGGGATATTAGTGCTTATTTCTGAGTATTCTATGGTGGCTAGTCGCAATTTAACCCCACACCAGCATTAATTAAAATTTATTACTTACATATGTATTTATAGTAAGTATTTTAAGTTCAAATTGTAGTAGACATTATAGTATTATTGTATTTTAATAGCGGCCTTCGTTGCCTGATACAAATTAATAAATAAAACCTTCGTCAAACACAATATCACACACAGTTCACACTCAGATCTGGAACAATTTGTGAATTACACAAATGATTATTAGTTACAATTAAGATAAGCGCACCATTACGTTTGTTTCCATTCTTCTCTATTAGAGGTCACACATCTATTTTCTTTAAAATCGTAATTTTTATGGGATAATTGTGGCAGCACGAATTTACGTATCAGTTGAAGATAAACAATCGGCGCTACTTATAAACACCCGCTAAAGCAGAGGTTATACAAGTGCGTCGTCGGCTTTTTGAGAATTTGAAGTGGGAATGAGGGAAAGATTGAGCCTTGAACATAGAATATTCACACAAATTATCAATCTATCCTTTATCAATCAATGAACTACCACATAAAATTAAATAAATAGTTGATATTCACCGACCAGGTTGTTGGGACCCCGTGATGGAGTGGTGGGCGAACATCGTAGGTGTCGCCGCTACCTGGTTGCTGGCCGACACTGGCAAAGCCGTGGAGATCGGCGACCGTCTCAACATGTTGCCTGAACCTCTTGCTAACTGCGAAGATCCTTTGCCAGGGTACGTATACTTGATATAGGAATTTAGCGTAACAAGAACTAATATTTTCATGTCGAATTTTTATTTTAAGACTTACCTTAGTCATAAATCAAATTCAGATAAAATATATAACTATACTTTGGTTTTAAACACCACATAGATTGGTTAACACAACTAAATTAATGGTGTACGTATAATTATCGTCCATGTATAAAATGCGGGTCAATAACATATATAAATTATTATTGAACAGCCGTCTAATTAACAATGAGAAGATTGTCATACATGCGAAAACTTAGAAATTCTAGTCGCACTGGTGTTTATAAAACAAAAGTGTATAGTTTATAGTTGTTGTATTAATAACTATTGTCTTTCATAGCATAAACATGAGCTGATGAAAATATAGCTATTGTACTATTATTCGTAGGGCATTGCATATGGCATACAAAAGCCGCCGCGGCTTGTTGAGCCTCGCTCAGTGTCGAGATGAACGCTCGTTCGAGAGGACCGCTGAAACCATACTCAAGGTGTGTGCAATTTATTTATATTCAGTGTTTATTCTATACTAGTAGACTAGACAACTTGTGAGTGAATTTTATTCATCGGTGATAATGTTTGAGGAGAAACTTGTCTTTTACTACTGCTGTACCTATTGAGGAATCCCGTAGTTGTTGTTGCAAAAGTGCTATATAAAGTTAACTATCCGATTTGAATAGTTAACGTTAAGAGGCCGACGTTTAGATAATATCTTTCGATTTGCCTGCTGCAATTCTAATCGGAACGTTGTTCTACTATAAAGAAAGTGCATTTGTAGGGTTTTAAGTCCTATTCGAATCTGACTTGCTTTAATTGTATCGTATTATTCGCTAGTTATGTTACAAATTCTGTTTTCATACAAGAATTGAATGTAATAAAATAAATTATTATTAGAATTGAGTGTAATAAAATAAATTACACTCAATTCTGCCTCGTTGGCCGAATGCTCGCAAGTGCGCACAGAGTCTGGAATTGTGCCCGGTATACGGCTATAGACTCACACTCACCCCCTATTACATGGGACTCAGAACATAAATAGTGAAATGTGGGTGTTACATTGTACAGTGGCATTAAGTGCCGTAATGTGCACCTCTGCCTACCCCTTCGGGGATAAAAGGCGTGATGTTATATAATAAATTGTTTCTATTTTCATATTACAGGTGTGCGACATCGCTGGAACCAGACTAGCGGATTCCCTAGCCTACTACTGTTGCAGAAAACCAACGCAACTTATGTTGGTAAGTACTGTAAAGTATCAAAAACTTAACGATTTCAATCACATTATTATAATACACTTTTACCATTTATTTTATTTTGTTGCTTGTTATTTTTATGCTCATTTCAGTTTTTATTCTTTGAATGATATTAGCAACTAGATGGAGCTTGAAGACATAACTATTACGGGAGTGCATTGTAGTTGCATTGCACTGGTTTACATGAGTTGTGCAATATTACTACAAGGCAAATCTCGCATTAGTTGCATCCGCCGCATCGAAGATGTTCTTGCATGGTTTATTTTTATCTTTATTGCTTTATATTTAGTTTTAAGTAGATAGTACCTATTGCCTTAGTGTTACCTAGTAGTTTTGTATTGTTCATGGATAATCTTGTGAAAATGCATGTGTAGAAACTTATTTATTTGTTTGCAATGAATATGTCACTCACGATTACTCCCTATCTTTAAAGTATAGTTCACTCCAACCCAATCATCCAATACATAGTTTTCGATTAAAACACTCCCATAGATCGGACAGCGTGTCTATCATGTTGTGCTATATTTTCAAAATATTTTGGAATGTGATGTCACTATGTTTAAATAACATCGTCCTTGCTGTGTCAAGCACTTGCAGTTAAAATTGTAATTAAGCTTCATGTAACATAACATAACATCACGCCTTTTATCCCCGAAGGGGTAGGCAGAGGTGTACATTATGCCACTGTACAATGTAACACCCACTTTTCACTATTTATGTTATGAGTCCCATGTAATAGGGGGTGAGCCTATTGCCATATACCGGGCACAATTCCAGACTCCGTGCTACTACTGAAAATTTATAAAAACCCAGTAGTACTTCGCCCGACCCGGGAATCGAACCCGAGACCCCTTGACCGGCAGTCGCACTTGCAACCACTCGGCCAACGAGGCAGTAAGCTTCATGTAGTAATTTAAAATAGAGTATATGTTTAAATAAGCTTTATAACAATGATAATTTATTAATTTTTGTTTAAGTATATTAATCTTGTGCTTATTTTTGTTATTAATTTGCATGTTACAAATGACAATTATGTTTGCACTAAAAGTTAGAATTATCGAAAACACACAAGTTTGCTGAAAAAGTCGAAGTATTGCTGCATTTTAAGATACACTAAATGCTTTAATAGATTTGTAACGTATGTTATAGACAGAGTCACTAGAAATACCATACATTCCACTACTATAATTGGTTAGGATATTATAGAAAAAAAAAATATAACAAAATCTCTCTTCTAAGGACTTTAGTATGTTCCTAAATGTAATTAATCATTTGTCAGAAATGTATCGTTTTCATAACAACGCATATCAGTGAAAGGAGATCCAAATTTAATGTTTTCTGTGTTAACAAATAATAATAAAGTACTTTACTAACTAGTTATGTGTTATGGGCAGCTGATGCAGGTGCTATGCTGTGACTGGGTGCTGGAGGTCCGCGCGGGCGTGTGGGAGGCGGCCGGCGCCAGGCAAACTGACGGCTTCTGCGCACCGCACGCACAACTGCGCGCATTCCAACGAGATCTGCATTCCTTGAGACGGATCTCGCAGAATTTACCAGTAAGTATTTTAAATACTGGATAACCATTTGCAGTAATACATTCTGGCGTGCTGGAAAGTACTGCAAAATTTAAATTTTATGTCGTATTAATTATATATAACACAATGTTCCAATATCAAGCTTAGTTTCAGTGAGAGTTCCGAAAATTAAATCCCCAATAATAGTCTACATTTATGATCCCTTGACCAAAACTAAATTATTTAATCATAATGTTTCAGTGGGTGACGTCGCGTGTGTTCCTGCAATCTGCAGTGTGTCGTATGATGGCGGGCGCGGCACCGCGACGTACTCAACAACTACTTGACGGTAGCCTTAGACCCAGGCTTAATCGATCTTCTATTATTTGTGGAAAAGGTAAGAAACCATTTGGCTTTACGAATATAACAGACAAATTATGCAAAATAATAAGTTTCGTGCTAATATGATTTTTCATTTATAAGTAATTGGAAAGGTTAAATAAATTAGAAATGATATAAGCTATAGTTATCTATAAATACAATTTTCCGATACATACATTTTCGTCTACCAGAGCGAGCCCTAGAAGGCGGCGGCGGTGACGGAGAGCGCGCGGTGGCACTGTACATGGCGTGCAAGCACTTACCGGCTGCAGTATTAGCCGCGCCCGGGGAGCGAGCCGGTATGCTCGCCCAGGCGGCAGCCACGCTGCAGAAAATAGGACATAGAAGCCGCCTACCCCACTGCTATCACCTCATGAAGTCCATAGGAACCATGCCCTCGGCACCCTAAAAGTGGTGTTCCGCCTAAAGATCAAATATTAATTTATTCTATGATTTGTTTTTATAAAATATTACCTACCCATTGTTATTTGAATAAAATTTATTCGACCCAAAATTTAATGCAATACATGACTTTTTGTTTAAAAACTGCTTTTATTTTCAATAACCCTACAAGGAACCAGGGGTGATTAAATGTTTACTTATAATAAATATAAATTAATGGTTTTTATTTTGGAATGGAAAACCACTAGTGAAAATATCGCCATAATAGGATCTCATTTTTATCTATGGTGTTTATAGCAATAGGCACCCCATGAACTTGACAATGACAAGTAACACTGACAGATGACAACTAAATGTCAGTATTGTCAAGACAACAGGTACAGGCAGGTCATATCAATAATATTGGTATTTGATTTCAAATTAAAAATAGCAATTCGATCGATATATTAAATATAATTCTGGTCCTCATAAACTGCTATAGTTATGATACGTCTCCTATAGACGGCAAAGTCAAGCGCTTTTCGGAATATATTGTTTTATAAATTATTGTAATTATGGTAAGTGAATGTTTGTACATATTGATTTATTATTGTCACACGCTGTTTGTTGTGTTTGTCCGTCTTATTTGTATATCATAAAGAAAAATGAAAACCTTTTTTTACTATCGAGAACATAATACGTACTAATCCACTAGGTATATTTTTCTTGTTGAATATATCGGTTAATTTATACTAGTAAGGACCGACACGTACACTTCTCCTTATTTAAATTCCAGGCAAACGCTGTAGCTAATGTTCAGAAGAAAACAGTCGGCTCCAACAACACAGGGGGCGTGCGCAAGAAGTCGGGACCTAAGTTTGAGTTATCAGATGAACAGAGAAAAGATATCAAGGAAGCATTTGATCTTTTTGATACAGAAAATACAGGGAAAATAGATACAAAAGAATTAAAAGTAGCTATTCGAGCTTTAGGCTTTGAACCTAAGAAAGAAGAAATTAAAAAGATGATTGCAGAAATAGATAAAGGTGACGGAAAAGTATCATTTGAAGATTTCCAAGAGTTGATGACTGTCAAGATGGCAGAAAAAGATACTAAAGAAGAAATAATGAAAGCATTTAAACTGTTTGATGATGATGAGACAGGTGTGTGTATACATTATCTCATATTAAGTTCTATTTATATTTATTTCAGAAGAATTACACAAGATTTCATCATTTCTAAAGCCAAGATTTAAAGAAAAGATACTTGTATAACCAATCTTAATTCAAATAATAATAAGATATCCATTCAAGTTTAAACAAGTTTGTACGGGTCAAGTAATTTTTTATCATTCTGTTTGTTAGATGATGTACTAGATATTTGATAACTGTGCGATGAGTCATTATTAGAAAAAAAAAACGACAAGCAATTTTTTGTTTGGTTTCTGTGTTAAATTGTATTGCCTCAATATTTCAGGTAAGATCTCATTTAAGAATCTCAAGAGAGTGGCTAAGGAGCTCGGCGAAAACCTGACAGATGAGGAACTGCACGAGATGATCGATGAAGCGGACAGAGATGGCGACGGAGAAATAAATCAAGAGGAGTTTTTGCGCATAATGAAGAAAACAAGTCTCTATTAGAATTTACCGAAGTCTATGCAACTACGTGGTAGATATGTTCAAAATATGTTTGACTGCAACAAATTACTCAAGTCATTTACATAATGCAATTATTTTAAATTTACAATAGACTTATCTTCTTAAAATGTGTCTATCAAAATTTCCACAGGGTATCCAGTTTTTATTTAGCCAGTATTATGAATAATTTCATCTACGCTACCCACAAATATTATTATCTATCTTTTTGAATTGGAGACATAGTTGCCAATTAAATAAAAAAAAATATATCTTGATGTTATCTAGATAGGCATAAATATACTAATAGTTCCTTTTATCACCCCAATAATTATTTTTTGGGAAAAATAAGAGTATAATCTCACTTTTTGTCACAGATTAGAATTATAAACAAGCCACTTATATTTTATTAAGGCATGATTTTAAATGTCTATGTACCTATAATTTTTTTATTGTAACTGGTAGTTTATAATATAAAACTACCAGTTTTCAATCTACATATAAACTTTATATGTAGATTGAAAACTCACAAAAATTTAAATTTAAAATAGTAACTAATGCTGAGCATAAATTATGTATTTAAAAGCCTGTTTTACAATATCTTATTTAAGTTTTCGATTGATCTAACTGTTGGATAAAATTTTACAGATCTTACAGAATATATCAGTGACTTAGCAGATATTCTGATCAGGCTTCGTATTATTTCTTGATGGATTACGCTTTATCACTATACATTATCTTGTCTAAATATAAGTTTACCACTAAGTGTGACCAATGTTGCTTTAGAATATGTTTCCGGTTATTTTTTAGTGGATGCAATGAAAAATTGTTAGTTGATAGTTCACATTAGTTTTAGTTTAGTGTGTTTCACACATAATTCAATAGTTTATTTGGTTACAAGATTTGCACAAATTGAGTGGTTTTTAAATTGTTTGTTTTTGTAAGTAAGGTTTTAATTAGGTCTTACTGTTGTTCAATCTAAAGATTTATAACTTTCTGATGTCTTATTGGCAGCATTTTAAATGTGTTCAGTGCATGGCTATACCAACTAAATAAGTCTATTAGAATCCTAAAAGGTTCTGTTACATGATTAAATAAAATAATTTTGCTACAACACAAAATGCAATTGATTATATTTATTCAAAAAAGGCAAACATACATTCCAAATATGTGTATTAAACATGTTCAATACAGGTAAACCCTAATTCTATAATAAGTAAAGATCTGAATCCAAGATCTGGTTGCTTAGCACAGTGTATATGGTTTTATTGTCTAAGGAAACAATTTCTCTTAGTTTGTAAGGTTTAAATTACATTAAGCTTAAGGCCTAATACATACATATTTTCTCAATAATCAATGTCCTACCTCTAAAATTGATTTCTTTATCAACTTTATGTACCTAATTTTTATTTGCCAAAGTGTAATTGTATCTTTATTTGAAGTGTTTCTCATTTGATTAAATCAAAGAAGTACAGTAGTTGTTTTAATTATAGTATTTGCATTTCCTAATGTTTTTTTTTGCAATTTTTTTTTTATGTAGCATTTCTTGTTTGATTTTTCTATTCTTATCGTAACTTGTATGTAAATATTTTTTTAAAGATGTTACAGTTCATTTAGCAATAATATGTTTTATAGCTACCTACAGTATATTTTTATGAAAACATAAGTTTTGTTTTAAGTACTAAACATTCATTTTGGAGAAAAATGCATTCTACTGTAAAAGTTTAGTACTATTCTGAGATTCCCAACAATTATGTTTTGTTTTTCATTGGATGCTGGCTTAAATCAGTGGAACAAAATTCTTATCAAATTATTACTAACCAACCATGAGGCATTTGATTGTGAAATAACAAGTTCATTTTTTTTACTGATAAACAAGTCTTTGGCCCTGATAAACTCTATTTCATCATTTAGGTACATCATCTTATGTTATATCACAGTCCAATAGGTTCATTTATAAATTTTGATATGGAAATACTTAGTACTACTGATAGTCTTTTTTTATAACAAAAATAAGAATATGAAAGCTTTTCTCTATTCTCTAGTCATCATGCTAGAATAGATATTAATTTCTTTGTATACAATGCAAACATTTCAATCCCACATAACTTTTTAGGAATATAAGGTTCCGTTTTAAAAAATAATTAATAAGGTTGTTCTTAAAACTATTACATAGAAGAAAAGCTGACCTTATCATGTATTTGATATAATGCTTATAGAATATATACTTACAAAAAAAATATATTTCACTTTAGTGCTGATCGCCATGGTACCCAAAACCAACTGATTTAATATACAGTATTCATTATAGGTGCAAAATCAAACGAGAGCCAGTTCTAGTCATCTACCTACTATATTTCTTTAGTCTACTGTGAAAAAACAGTTAATGAATCTGTAGCTATATAAATTTGGGTGACATTTTTGGCTCTATGTTTTGTTTGGTGTTCATAGAATTACAATTTCAAAGTTTTATATACAACTTTAGAAAATTTAGCTAAATGAACAGCTTATATAGTTTTTTGGCTAAATAAAGATACTGTACAAGCTACAATGCCAGACTATTTCCAATAAATATCAGAATGTTAGAGCCAACAAGGATGTGGATGCTAGGTGGCGCTGAACTACAGCACAGTGCCAATTCCAAACCGCTCTATTACGTTACCTTCAGGCTGCCCAAAGTAAGCTTTTCACACATACGTACAAACAAACCTGTTTCAACCACACCAGGGATCATTTTTAAATGGTTATCGACTTTGTCCCATCTCAAGTCCTGGTCGGTGAATATCCAGTCAAGGATGAAGTTACCATTGTCAGTCACCACAGGTCCAGCCTTAGCAACAGCTTTGCGTAACTTTACTTCTCCACCATATAGGGCCTGTATCTTATTTTGAACAGGAACATATGCCATTGGTACAACTTCTATTGGAATACCTTTTTTGTATCGATCACCTAATTTCACGGAATCTTTAGTGTAGTCGGCTATAACGACAAATTTCTTAGAGCAAGAGGCTACTATCTTCTCTTGTAATAAGCAACCACCACCACCCTTGATTAGCGTCATCTCGGCGTCTACTTCGTCCGCCCCATCGATAGTGACATCAATTACCGGATGAGTTTCCAACTCGCCCAATGTAAGCTTATGTTTGATGATCAGCTGTTTAGATTGAAACGATGTGGGAATGCAGGTCACCTTCAACTTTTCAGTCTCCACACGTTCAGCGAGCCGTTGCACCGCATAAACAACTGTAGATCCACTACCGACACCAAAAATACAATCTTTCTTTATATACTCATCAACTGCCCGGCGTGCGGCGAATTGTTTTGCTTCTTCTAAAGACATTTTAGCGTTACTATTACACTGGCTATACTTTCTGATAGCACCACTGTGTTTCAATATCGCAGTTGCATAGACTTTAAGCAACATGCATCAGTGTTATTCTTAGATTAATGTAATAAAATGTATTATTATAACTACGTATACCGCGCGGTTACAACACGTGCGACAACGGCTTTCCTTGCCTTATTGCCTTGCACATTTGATTGAGATGAATTCGTTTTCTCTTTCCCACTTCATGAACTCTAATGTCAATGTCACGTTGGCAGTTGACAGTGTAGAAGTGTACTGTCACTGTTGTTTATTGTCTGATTGTCTATGGTGCACTGATAAAAAAATAGTTGCCATTTAATTAAATTTAAAAATTATAAAACTTACAAAATGTACTTCTTGATAAGAAAAATATCAGAATACACCTCAGGCAAAAAGAAGAAACGGGAATAGCTTCCAGTTCCCTCAGTTATTGTTTTTCGAATAAACAGCGTGTTTTATTAACTCGACGTATTCCTCTCCCGAGAGAGAGAGACAAAATTGTGCCAAGTCCGAAAATGGCTAATTTCTGAGATATTGAACATTATTTGGTTTTGTTTATAAACTCTTGAACCAACTATAAAAAAATCAATAAATAAAAAACTACTGGTTTGATTTGAGTGATTTTGGTTTTTATTTGTTGTCAATAATACAGCCTAAAAATCATACAGTCGTCCAACGAAGACGTCGGGACAAGGCAATCGTACGGGGTGTGAGGGGCGAACGCGGGTAAACCGATCCCGAATTGCGAACAAAACGATGTTAGTAGTTCGGGATATATCATCCAGGGCTAACTGTTTGTTTCCACCGACTTCAAAAAAAGAGGAGGTACTAAGTTCTAATGATTGGTTTTTTATGTAGGTAATTATGTATGTTTACTGAGATGTTTGTGGACTGATTTTTGAATTCTTCTTTTATTTGTAAGGTTACACTTTCGAGGTTATCCATTGTCACCAGGTCAGGATTTGATGAGAAAAAATTAACGACATATCGTGTTAATCGACATGCCACAGTTTTGTGAGATTACTTATTGACTTCTGACTTCAAATTTCTGTATATGTACAGAAATTTGAAGTCAGAAGTCTGTATATGTACAGAAATTTGAAGTCAGAAGTCAATAAGTAATCTCACAAAACTGTGGCATGTACTTATATATGTATATGGGAGGGGAGACTACCAACAGTAACTTCTCATAAACAGCAAAACTCATGAATGAATGTAATCCTATTCTGAAAATATTTATGTTACTGATATAATTATTTGATTTTCCCGGAGTATACGTAGAACCTAGAGTATAATATGGAGATAATTATAATGACACATTAACACGATGCTAAAAATAAACACTTTTAATAACTTTCATCAACATTTATTGCTTTCGAAAGGCTCTTCAAATCTTTAATGAGATTATCTTGATCATTAAGAAGTTGCTTTACCGTTCTTAAATGTGTCGTCAAGTCCAAATCCCTGCTGTTTGTTGGTGATAGTGATAAATGTTTATTTAATTCGATTTTTGTCATGGTCAGATTAGTAAAGTTTCTTTGATGAGACCCTATTTTAAATTCAGACCGTGCGAAACCAATACGTTGCCGAGGGCTTGGCGGAGGGCATTTCTTATCCTTGTTAATACAAACAGAGCCTACTTTCTCCTTAGGTTTTAAATTATTTTCCATTGTCATTAGTGTGTTGAGAAATCTGTTCTTTTGTTCCAGTTGAATGCGTTTCTCGTGTTCATTGCAGTAATCCGCATAAAACTGTCCACAGCAAGTTAAAATGTGTTTCAATTGTTCTAGGCTAGAAATATTTTCTACGTGTTCTTCATCCCTTCTTTTCTGTAATTCCTGATACCCAAGTCTTATGACGTTTTCGAAAAACTGAAGCTGATCCCGTAAAGCGTGGTTTTCTGTGCTTAAGTTAGTAATTATATCGTCTTTCTCACTTTGTTGTCGTATTAAATTCAAGTAATTTTTTCTAGCAAAATCTAAATGACTTGTTAGCGTTGCTATTTCGCTTGCTTTAGTTGATGACATAGTTTTGGCAACAGCTGCGAAAAAATTATGAGTTTTTAAAGGTAAAACTAGGGTCACCTAATGCTGCCCTTTAAATCCATATTAAAGACATCAACGTTACTTACCACAAGCAGTTTTTAGAGAATTTTTCAATCTTTTTATTTGAATTGTTCTCAAATTCAAAGATGACTTGCATTTTAAAAGTTGACCTAAAATTTCTTCAGCGTCACATTTCTTACTTTTTGCAGATATAGTGTTTTTATGGAGCCTGGAAAGGTCAATTAATTCCTGAATAAGATTTTATCAGTTAGGGTTTCATGTAAAAAGTGAAAGATAAAAAAATATATAAGAAAGATGCGCCGACGAAAATTAAATAGTTCTTAATCGTAGCTACGGCGTAGCACGAACGAGATCAACACTTAACTCCCTTGCACATTGAAATGATTTGGATGCCCATATCTCTATTAAAACTTGTGAGAAAGGAGACTCAACGGTATGAAGTTGTGGTGTATAAATTGATAGCATAGTAATGCCTAATCATAATGAGATATTTCCTTCCGTGATAAGTATGGTGGCTGGCTTCTTTAGATGGCTGTACAGTCAAGTTTGCCATCGCCAGATTAACGAGGACATTACTTATAAACTAGTGTTTTGTAAAAACTGCACATAATATCACCATCATCATCACCATATGAAGCCCCATGACGTCCACTACTGAACCCCTAAGACGACCCATTGATCGAATATAGGCCTGTCCCGAAGACTACTAGATCGGCCAGTTGGAACTTGTATCCAGCGGTTCCCTGTGACCTTACCTACTGACCAATATACCGAAGTTTATTGTAAATACATACTTTTGAACTTCTTTAGCTATTTCAGTTAATGCTGTGCGCATTTGGTTTTCTTCAGGCTCCTCATCACTCATTTTTGGTCACTTCTTATACTTGACACAAATCGAATCAAAGCATAGAGAAATTTGATTGCTAATCCGATTAACGCTAAAATATTTATTTTCAAACTGTATAAAAAACCAAATCGAAATTGATATGCATTAAAAAGTACAATGACAGACTGACGGATTTCCGTCAGTCCGTCAACTGTTCTATTCGTTGAAACGTTGACAGTTATACTTTCTAAACGAAGTAAGAATAAAGAGTACATAATACGCTCTTGAGTAATTAAAAATATCACGCATAGATGTAAGCATCTGTTTGGTACCCGTGCCTAATATTATGTGCAACAAATTACTACTGTTAATGAAATTTATCAATTTGTGTACACGTAAGGATTGAATTTTATCATTTTAATTAATCAATACACCGTAACAGGCACTGTATCAGTATAGTTGCCCATCACGGAGCGGGTAGACATTCAATACATTGTTATTATTAAGCCGGAGCATAGTGGTGTGCCAGCCAATTTTCCGGCAAACGCCCCGGCGGCAAACGGCGATCCGGTATTCGTTTGTTCACGAGACAACCGCTCCGTGTGGTAACCATTTCACGCTCGATTTCATCTCTACCACTAAAAATAGGGACATATCTTCCGAACGATCTATTATGTGGAATAAGAGAAAACGAAAATAAATGTTTCAGTGAGAAATAAAATCAAAGAATTGGTTGATCTATGTTTCGAATTGATGTTGACAATTTTAAATAAATATAAGCCGTTGTTGTTATTGTTATTGAGTCAATCTACGTTACTGTAGATTTTTTTAAGGTAAAATTGATGGACTGATTGGAATGGTTGGATAGGCTTAGATGTGATGAGTTGACGTTTTGACTTTGTTCACGTAGCGAATAAGGATTATTTTAAAGGTCATCGATAGATACGCGTAAATGCGCACCATTTGTGAGTAATAAAACACACATTAAAATATTACCTATGTATACACGAAAACACATAATAAAATTTAAACAAAATTGTTCTGTAGATCCACAGTCGAACTCGACCGCCCAACAAGTTTGTACAATAATAAAAATACACGAACTAAATTGGAGAGTTTGTTCTCTGGCAAAATAAATTAATGATGTAAACTACTTTGAAAGGGTCTATCTACACAAGTACTGGGAGACGTATTCTAAGTAGGCTTGATGAATGAAAATGATTCACCAATATATTCTAAAGGGATCTCGATCTTCTTACTTAGCCGTTATCCGCACGGTCGGTTTATTTCAATTTCGTTCATAAAAGACGCTATTCTCGGATTTGAAGTAGATTTATCATGCTCGGATAAAGCGGGCACTTTTTGTGCTTTTCTTGTGCCTGGATCTGACCCGAGATCTGTCCACTTAATGTGAATAATGGTGTACGATGGAAAACGAATGCGAACGCGAACACAAAGGACAACAATGCGAACGATTCCAGAACTCGATACAAGGATTTTGGCGAGATAATGCTTGTTGTTGTGTTTTCGTGGCTTTATGTTATTTTCATGCTAAGATTCCACTCCTACATTTATACGTAGGTATACGGTATCACTAAATTGCTTTTCTACGAACACGTAGGCTGAGATGTCTTCATCGTTTATCCTTTGCCTACATCTCTACCTACTCCTTCAAGGAATGCATGACAATGATAGGTAGGAACGTAATTAGATCAAGTTTTTCTCAAACATTGGTCTTTATTTTGTGAAAGAACCAAAGGAGTAAATGAACACCCTTTCTTAGTTTAATTACATAACATCACGCGTTTTACCCCCGAAGGGGTAGGCAGAGGTGCACATTACGCCACTGTGCAACGTAGCACCCACTTTTCACTATTTATGTTATGAGTCCCATGTAATAGGGCGTGAGCCTATTGCCATATACCGGGCACAATTCCAACCTCCGTGCTACTAGTGAGATTTTTTTTAAAAACCCAGTAATTCTTTGCACGACCCGGGAATCGAACCCGAGACCCCTTGCTCGGCAGTGGCACTTGCAACCACTCGACCAACGAGGCAGTCTAGTTTAATATTTAACTATAATACAATACGCGCTTTTGAATACTCCACCAACGAGGCAGCAAATGGTGTTTGTACTTTAACTCCCAAAAGTGTAGGTTCTCCAAATTTTTTTCTGTAGTTCATCAGTAAATCAGTACTGTTCACATAACAAAATAATAGTTTGTTAGTCGAATACAACACAGAAGATATCTTTTCAATATTGGCGACAAAAACTCTAAGTAAAGCAGAATTTTCTGTAACAAATTCTACGAAATGTTGAAAATAAAAAGTTCTTTAAGAAGACTGTCTAAAAGATTTAAATCAAATCCTTTCAAATAAATTATTATTATGAAGTATGATATGTAAATCAAGGTCAATTACAGCTATTTTATCATATAAAATAGTAATATACCTTGCCTATGTACCAAGAAAAAAGAATACTTACCTGCCTTTTTAAAATGTATGTACCATATTTGCTTGCAAGATAGTAATAAAACTAGTTATGAACAGAACTATTATAAATAGAACATAATTCCATCACAACATTATACATAAACATTTTAATGCACGTCGTCATATCGGCGCCGAGATGAAGACGATATCCGAGGAATGCGAGACGTCTACGGATAATCGATTCCTTAGAGGCGAAAGCTCCCGTGATCGTGAGAGATGCACTCGAGATGAAGCTACGCTGAGTATCCTACTTCCCGTAGTAGTTCCGCGTTTATGTACTACGATAGCCTTGATACTGATATACATCTCAACAAGCATCGTCTGTTTGATGGTCAAAAGAGATTGGACATTCGTAAACATGAATCTCGAAATATGAATCCCATCTGCAAAACACAATCTTTTCACGAAGCCAATACTATTTTATACCTTCTCGTGTAGGTATCCGATGTTTTATAAAATTTATCGCAGAGGTACCTATGATAACAAAAGAATCAGCATTCCACAAGGCAGACAGGAGTCACGCGACCGCTCGGCCGGACCGTACACCGCGTAAATAGTTAAATCTACTACACTAATACAATTTGTAGTAAACCATGATCCCGACGCTAAGGTCGCATTATCGGATTGGAAAAAACTGTTACAAAACAATCTTTGTAGAACAAAATTGAATCTTACACGTGAAGTTTTTAAGACGCTATTGGTTTGTGAGTGGAGATGTGAATACGAGGCCGAGTTTTACAATGTTCATGTGACGGCAGGACCTTTTTGTTTGGCCTTTTGTGCAGAGAATCCGCGATGCCCTAGGGGCCGAGGGGCACGATTTCCATTACACGAGAGAGTTTTTCGAAGAGATCTTTGCTTTCCGAAAATTTTACACTACATTCAATTATGTTTTTCTAAGGTTGCAGGTTAATAAACTACCATCAAATCCCAGGGGACAGTTTAATTGCTTGTGTAATCTGGAATCGATCGCGAAAGGTAGGCGACCTAATAAAGGTAGCACAGTAGTGTTCTAACACATTATGGAACAAAATTAATTTTTAATACGCACCAAAGAGTTGTTCAACGTTCCTTGTTGAGCAGACATCAGCAATTCTATGTAAATAGTACTATCAAAGACCATTAATTGCGCGCAATGGAAACGCCCACTATTAAACGTGAATACTATTAATTAGCAGTTATTGAAATTGTATCTGATTCTCAATGTCGGTATGATTAATTTAGGTGCAGTTGAACTAGAATGACAAAGTGTAGTAGTGTGTGTTCGTACATAAGTTATGAGCAATACAGTGTAGCGTTCAAGATCAGGAGTACGTGCACATGCGGTCGGATGTGGTACAAATGATGCAATATCGGCAAGTCACGTTTAGCTAGTATTTTGAGCTTCCATTTTGGTCTCGCCTGCAACTCAATGAGATACTTCAGTTTCGAAAATATGTTTTGCCTGTCAGACAATCGTGGTGGTGCAGCCGTAATATTATAAGTAATCAATGAGAGTGTTAGATATATTAATTTTATTTTATTAAGTTGTTGAATAGTCAAACCTTCTGTTAGACCATTTTAAGGCCATGATTAGGTAAGTATATTTGTGAGTAACAATCTGAAATCTCGAACCTTATCTTCTTCTGTTGGTTTTATTTTCTAATTGCGTCCACGTTCGTATACAATATGTATATTACCTAAACCTGTAGGTTTAAGACTGATTGAAACTTTCTTAAAAACCAAAACGCAAATATTGATTTAACTTAAAAAATACGGATGATGAAATGATGATTCCCATTACGCACTGTTAAAAAAATTTACAAAACTAACGACAGATCTCGAATACAAAAATTATTATGATCACAAGTCACATCTAACTTTTAAAAACGCTTACATAATAATTAAATGAAACGTTACATATTCATTAAACACCTATCGAACGCTAGACAATCTTACGAACACTGTCACAATATATTACATCGACAACAGACATTATTTTCGTCGCACATAAAATGTATGTTACAACATACAAGGGGTACATGACTTACTTGAGGACAAAAGTCAGGGCGAACATCTGTTAAGCAACTTCTTAAAGTTGTGTGGAAGAACAAAGTGGAATGTGTGTCCTTAGGGCCCGCGTCGGCTCGGAACAAACTTTCAATATAAACCTCACTCAATATACACACTCGGCCCAACCGGTGTTTTATGAAATGCGTACTGTGTACTCTGTACATACATGATTTGTACATAAGTGATCGTTTGTATGTAGTTACGTTAAATATGATACGAAACGGAAAAATTGAAATAATATCTGTAGGTATACTCGAAGGGATAAACAATGTTACAGCTGTGTTATAAGTTCGATAGAATTTATTTTGTGGTCGAACTTACTGCTGGGGCAAAGTCAGAAATTTTCTTGTGTCTGTGGATATTTTGTAAATGATATCTCCTTGAGAGGGCTTGCTTATAGGGACTAACTAATACCTCTTCTTCCACTCCACAAAATTAATTAGTTAGTTTGTACATTTCCAAAATAATTAGATTGAGCTACAGAAACAACAAAGCATTGGTTATAGGCAGTCTCAAAGTTAGTAATCTGTGCGTGTATGAAGCATATAATCAGGCGATGTGAAATTCAATTAGATTCCTTTTGATAGTCTCTTTGTCCCTGTCACTCGCATAGAATATCAAAAACATTGTAGATGTAGCTATTTATCGTGAGCCTGAGC